AGTAAGTGTTGGTAGAGTGCTAGCTGATTGGTGGGCTGGCGTGGGGATTTCATTGGGAGTACAGAATTAATATGCATAGGAACTGTCAACTAAATTTTACTTATACCACTTTTAACCGCATGTCTTTTACCATTCATTTAAATATACATATTTTTGCTTATATTGATATTGTTGTTGTTGTTGTTGTTGTTATTGCGTTTTAAACGCTCACATGTTGGATTTTTCCAGTCATTCATTCACGCTTTCATTTCTTATGCATAATGCGTATACATGGGCGACTAATCAACGACGCTTGTACTTATTTTATGTGAAGGTGTTCGCTGAAGATTTTCTATGAACTTGATCATGAATCGATGACAATTGTACGTACATTAACGGCAGCCTTTACAAGCATTTTATTGTGTTGTTCAAAGGAATGCTTTGTAAATTCTATAATGTTGTTACCTCCAATTAAACCTGATTAATATACATATATTCACTTAATACATTAATACGTTTACGTGTATATGATGAGAATATATGCTAAGAAAATTCATACATTTGTTTTAGCATTTGTTTGGTTTGTGTTTTCAATTTCGATATTGTGCTCTAAGCTTTGACTCTATTTAACTCTATTATTGTCCTTGTTTTTTTTTTACACTTTACCCTAATGCGAATATGATATAAATTTACAATTTTAATTAATCGGAATGGTTGTGATGATGATGTAAAATACCCGGTGTTCTATTCATATATCTAACCTAATAATGAAAGCAGAGGACCTTATCATTTAAAATTGCTTTATTGTTTTTCAAAATATTCTCCTTTACGAGATATACAGTTTTGCTTACGCTAAAACCTTTTGTCAAAGCATTTTCTTCGTTTGACTTCAGACACCTCAACAGTTTATTTTGGCGACAAAGATCGCTTTCCATGCAATTTGTTGTCAACGTTCAAGTATATATGGCTGCAAAATGGGGACTGCACAGATGATGACTGACTAATCCGATTTTTCGAGCGTTTCCATAGTCAATTACTATAAGAGATGTTTGAGAGGTTGCATTGCCATAGTTAAGAATGGTCCGACAGCGTTTGTACGTTTTGCTTGTTACTGCAAAGAACTTCGGCAAACAACTTGTTGTAAACCATTGAGAATTGATCGTTAGCTTTCCGCTTAAAGCCACCGTGTCTACCTGACTGGTTGTTTCGAAAGAACAGACGACCATTTGTTTAATAGCGAGTAACTTGTGTTGAATTTGGTTCATGTTGAGTCTTCATAGAGCCGATTGCTGTGCACTTTCCGTTTTCAGGCGCATAGCTTCACGATTCGTCATCTATTGCGATCTACTGTACTTTTTTTGAAGCAACGCTTTTGCATTTATTAAGCTTTTGCTTACACCAAGTGAGACGACCGACTCTTTAATATTTTGTCAATATATATGGAAACCAAGGAGAAAAAACATTTTGTACGAGACATGATTTCGGACGACCTTCGCGAACTTGGCTGGTGAGCGAATGGTGGTGACGATTCGACTCGTTATATAAGCGTTTCGCAGTTGCTAAGCGATAACACTTCATTACTAAAAGTAAAAGTAAGTTGATTCAAAATCACCAGATGAAAATTTTCAACTTTTAATTACATATCCACTCAAACCGTTATGCGGAGGGTTAGGCCAAAAATGTTAAAATTTCGATTGGAAACGTCCAATGGCGTCTAACAACACGCAGTGTTGCTAAGTCTACAGATATATACTGACGTGCGTACTTATAAATATAACGTAAACAGCTAGACAAGCTAATAAGGCTTTTTCGTGATAGTATATGAAATTTAAAATAAAAATATTAAACATAAAAACAAACTGGCATATATTTAGAAAAAGTTTTTAGTTTTTAACATGTTAGAAGTCGGTTTAGGGTGAACATAAATTTTATTAAGGAATGTCGAGGAATATCGAGGCATGTCTCTCCGCATGTGACGTTTTCCCAGTTGGGCGCGAAAAAGTATATTTAAAGGTTAAATACCTAGAGGTAATTTTCTCGGTTTTATGTACAAAAGACATGCCAATATAATTACCTCGCAGCTGCTTCCACAAGAAGCTATTGTCTTTTTTGTATGGTAGCATCTTCTCGACAAGACGAAAAAAGTAAAAGTGAAGCGTGAAGCGTGAAGCATGAAGCGCGAGTGATTTTTCCTATTTTCAAAACAAAAGTTTTTGTAGCACAGGCATGGGGGCGTTGTAGGCGTGTCGTTAGCAAAGTTTAAGTCACTTCCAAATACTTTTGCAAATTTTTAGTCGGTACTACGCTGTTGCACTGATAGACAGATGCACAGACGAACAGACGGACATGTTTAGGTACATTCCAAATTTGAAACTGGCGAAAAATTTATATACTTTATGGAGTACACAATTGCTACAACATCGCCCATAGAATGTGCGTAAAATTTTTGTACACTGACTTCCTATAGTTGATAAGTAATAAGCAAAAAACCAATTTCTATTCCTTTTGAAAAACCGAGGTGCTCTCAGTCTACGTGGCCCATTCTCAATACCAACCTGCGTACAAGAACTTACAATTTTTTTTGGCAGATTTGAAGTCGATAGCTTTACTTTTGCGGTCAGGAGAGAGTTTACAACACACATCACCCAGATGGGCAAACGGACAGATGGACATGCTTAAATCGATTTAAGATTTGATGTTGATCAAGAATATCTGTACTTTTTGGGGTCTCCGATTCTCAGTTCTGGGCGTTGCAAACGTTTTGACAAAACGATTAGACCCCTCGTCCTTCGATGATGCGTTTTGAAAGAAATAACCGACTCTACATAACCTTAAAACAGCAAACTAAAATGGTGGCTTTATGAAAAATCTCTATACTTTATACTCTCGTCTGTTTGGGTGTTTATTCTAATATCCCCTCCATTATTCTATCTTACTATTATCAATTTTACTAGTCATTCAGCTAGAGATTTTATTTATTTAGCCATTCACTTCACTTCTCATTCATTTTTTTGCTCCTTACAATTCGTAGATTGTAGATGTGAAAAGTTGAAGATTTACACACTTCTATATGAAAGCTAGGAAATTTGTTTGTGTATGCGTTGATAAGTGCTTATCACAATTTCTGTCATTTTGGACACACGCTTGGTGTTTGAAACTCGCCTAAGTGAGTCGATGTAAAAATTGGAAAAATTTGATTGTCATTAAGTATTTGTTCTTGTAAAACTATATATTTGCATAAACTGTAGACGAGTTGAGCTCTGCTCTTTGCAGAGACTCTGCACGTTTATTTACTGCGGTGAAATTTGGGAGAGTCAACTCGAAAGGTAGCCACACCAGCTTGGGTGCCGGCAAACATTCTGGACGATTGAAAACTGTGAGCACTAATCGAAACTTCGTATAATCGCACCTGCTAGTGCTGGGCCATCGTCAAATTCAAATTAAAGCCATGAGTATGTGAAAAGAACATCTTTCGCATGTAGTGAACAAAGGCTGTGGACATGAGAGAGATAACCGTACGTTGATTATTGCAATTTGCTTACATTGAAATAAGTTAGAAGTCGATGGCTGCTATATGAACCAGGTAGGTAAAATTGAATGAACGGAAGCTTAGTTTTCTGCCTGTAACTGCAACCAGATTCTCCAGATATAACTTACCCAGTCTACTGCTCTATCCGTTGGAAATTTTCTAAAGAATGCTTCAGAGAAAACCGAATGAGATCTGGACAAATCGTTCTATCGAAAGAGTACCTGAATTTTAGAGACTCGTGGGTTTGATTGAATCATGCTCGAAGAAGACGACGTTGACGAATCAGTACTTGAATCAGAAACATTTCAATATTCATTGCTTTGCATGTTGTTTTCACCAGTGTATCATTTATTGAAATTCTCTTTGATACGAATTTTGTTTGTTTTATTATTATTTGCGTTAGCTCTGCTAATGTACGTTTTATTATTTTTCCTACTGAGAATTCTATTATCCATTCTAATAAACATTATATTTGTGTTTGCATGCGTATTCCGTTAATAGCGTTATGGGTTCTATTATTGATTTATGCACTCGTGCTACTACTCGTGCGAATAGCATTATTATTTCCGTATCAGTATCTGTTTTCCTTTTTTCATTCCATTCCACTCTCGTTTCGAATCGTATGCTATTCTCTCATGCATTTCAGTCTGTTCTGATTTCAAAACCCCTTACATATCATACGTCAGTAAAGAAATATATATATGTGGAATCTCGTAAGGAAGGGTCTAGATGTACTTTTATCACTTTTTTTTCCTTTTTGGAGATTGGCGTGCTTGTATTGAAAGTATGCACGTATTCAGTAGTTACCGCGATGAAGTGATCCAATATTAAGAAGCATAGCATAAACTATAATATTGAGTATTTAGAATCATAGAGTACCGAGCTATCTACACTGGAAGAAGCACATTTGAAACTTATTCGATATGATTGCGGCATAAAGAAAAATTGTGTCTTCAAATAATTAATGCTGCAAAAAAAATCTAACTCGTATAAGGAAAAAGAGAAGAATTCGAGGGTAAAGCTTATTATTAATAGTTACTTGAATAGATTTATTTTAAAAATGAGTTTAAATTGCAATACGG